ACATAAGTAAATAAATACAACTTTTAAAAACATCCTAAATACTCCACCAAAAAACTGTTAGAACTAAAAAACTATTTCAATAAGGTTCAGTAATACAAAACAATATACAAAAATCAGTTGTGTTTTTATACACTAACAGCATACTACCCAAAAAAAGAAATTACAAAACAATCCCATTTACAATAGCATAATGAAAAATACATAGGAGTAAATTTAACCAAGAAAGTAAAAATTTGTACACTAAAAATGATGAAACATTAATGAAAGAAACTGAATAAGAGGCAAAAAATGGAAACATATCCTGTTTGGGTAGATTGGAAGAATTAATATTGTTAAAGTCTATAACACTCAAAACAATCTATAAATTCAATACAAACCCTATCAAAATTCCAATGGCATTTTTTACAAAAATAGAAAAAATCATTTTAAAATTTTTATTAAAACCATGAAAATCCTGAACAGCCAAAACAATCCTGAGAAAAAAGAACAAAGCTGGGGGGCGGGGGCAGGGTGAAGACGTCAATGGCGGGGGGGAGGGGACAAAGGGCACATCTGTAATACTTTCAACAATAAAGAGAAAAAAATAGAAAAATAACAATAAATTAATTGTCTAGCTAAAAAAAAAGAACAAAGCTAGAAGTATCACACATGCTTATATCAAACTCTACTGTAAAGCTACAGCGATCAAAAGAGTAGCACTAGCATAAAAACAGACTCATAAACCAATGTAATAGCATTGAAAGGCCAGATAAAACCCATACTTATGTGGTAAACTAATCATGACAAAGATGCAAAGAATACACAATGAAGAAAGGGTAATCTCTTCAATAAATATCAACTTGTAAAAGAATAAAATTGGGATATCTTACATTAAAATTAATTCAAAATAAACTAAAGACTTACATGTAAGGCCTGAAACTATAAACGCCAAGAAAAAAATACAAGGAGAAAGCTCCTTGACATGATATCAAAATCACAAGCAACTGCCTGGCCAGTGTGGCTTAGTGTTGAGCATCAGCCCATGAACCACGAGGTCAGGGTTCAATTCCCAGTCAGGCACATGCCCAGGTTGCAGGCTCAATCCCCAGTAGGGGGTGTACAGGAGGCAGTCCATCAATGATTCTCTCTCATCATTGATGTTTCTATCTCTCTCTCCTCCCCTCCTCTCTCTGAAATCAATAAAAACATCGTTTTTTAAAAAATAACAAACGCATAAAAAGATGGGGGTGGGGGAAACTACACCAAACTAAAACATTTCTGTAGAGCAAAGGAAACAACAAGCAAAATGAAAGGCAACCTCTGCAATGGGAGAATAATTGCTAACCATGTCTAATAAGGGGTTCATTCCAACATATATAAAGAAACCCTATAACTCAATAGCAAAAGTAGACATATAACCTTATTAAAAATGGGCGAAGGACCTGAAAAGTCCCTTTCCAAAGAAGATATGCAAATGGCCAACAGATATAGGGGAAAAAATGCTCATCATCACTAATCATCTGGGAAATGCAAATCAAAACCATAATGAGATATTACCTAACACATGATATAATGTGTTAAAATAAAATAAAATAAAAAGAGAGAGATAGCAAATGCTAGTAAGAATATGAAGAAGCATTATTTACAATAGACAAGACATGGAAACAACCTACGTGAATAAATGGATAAAGTTGTGGAATACAGATGCAATGAAGTTTTACTCAGATCTAAAAATAGAATGAACTTTTGGCAAGCTGATTTTGCTTCTGTTTGTTTGTTTTCCAACACATGGACTTTAATCAGATTTCACCCATTGTTTTACTAATCTTGTGTAGTAAGAATTTTTGAGGGATAGCATTTAAGCCAAGATCACCTGTTACACTTCAGTTTGTCATGTCTCTTTAGCCTGCTTTCATCTGAATCAGTCTTAGTCTTTCTTTATCCTTTAGCTTTGACATTTTGAAAAGATGGGGCCAGTTATTTTGTAGAATGCCCCTCAATTTGGTTCATCTGATACTTCAGTAGAGTCCGGTTATGCATAGTTGGCAAGAATACCGCAAAAGTGATGCTGTGTTCTCCTCATTGATCCTATCAGGTGGCAGATGATTGTGACTTGTTCCTATATTGGTGATATTAGCTCCATCACCAAATCCTGGACATGTCCTCCAACTTTCTCTAATGTAAATTACTATTTTCCCATCTGTAATTAACAACTAACCTGTGGGGAGATTATTTGAACTTATGTGACTATCCTTACAGAACATTACTGTAAGGATTGCCAGATAGTGGTTTTTAAACTCTATCATCCCTTCTGCATTTATTACTTAACATTTTACTGTAAGGGTCTTTCCTTCTTCCTTACTTATTTACTTTTGTTTATATGGATCCATGGTTTCTGATTTCATTCAATCGGTTGTAACTCATTATTATTATTACTTATTTTGAAGCTCAGATTGCCCCAGATTTGGCCAGTGGGAAGCTCCTTTCAGCTAACTTCTACGACTGTAATTTTTTGAGAAAATTATTACTTCTATCACAAGGTGGTCCAGGCTTACTATCCCAAACGTAGCTCTGGACTCAGCCATTTTGCTAAGGTCCCCTTTTCTTTTTCATGAAGAGTGATATTTGAACCTGAGATCACTAGGTGTGTTCATAGCTACTAAGGTGTCATTGCTCGTCCTTTTAGTGGACAAACTGTGGAAAATAGCCATTTCATATTATTCTTTTCTTTCACCATTTTATATTTATAGCTCCTTTCTCTCACCATGAGAAGTCTGGCTCCTAAGAAAATAAATATATTTACTTCTTTGCACAATTCTATAATGTACATAAACTTGTTTCAGAATTACTATACCCATACCACTATTAACAATAAACATACTAACTTATTTAGCTAAATTAAAGTTTTCTTTGGAGTTCGTTTGGTTCTTTTATCTTCAGACTGAGAGGGGTGAAAGTACTGTAGCTAAAATTTACCTGGACTCGTCCTTTTTCACTTTTCTGTAATATGATTGTTACCTATTTGATATACAGTTTAAGTTTATTTGATTGTTTGTTGCCAACTTTGAAGTTTAAAAAAAATCCTTGTTGATTTAACTTTTGTCATTTTAATTATGATGTTATATTATGTTATAATATGATGTTATAATATGTTAATTATGATGTGTGTTGGTGTGGATCTTTTTAGGTTCATCTTATTTGGTGCTCTCTGCACTTCCTGGACATGGATGTCTGTTTCCTTTACCAGGTTGGGGAAGTTTTCATGCATTATTTCTTTAAGTACATTTTTTGGGTCACTTTTTCTCTCTCTCTTCTCCTTCTGGTACCCCTATAATGTGAATGTTGGTACGCCTGATGTTGTCCTAGAGGTTCTTTAAACTTCCTCATTTTTTTTTCTTTTTTTTGTTTCCTGTTCCAAGTGGGTGTTTTTTGCTACCTTGTCTTCCAAATCTCTTATTTGACCCTCTGCTTCATCTAATGTGGTGTTGATTTCCTCTAATGGATTCTTCATTTCAGTTATTGTATTCGTCATTTCTGACTGGTTCTTTTTTATGTTTTCTATCCCAATTTTTGTTTCCTATCTCTTTGTTAAACTTCTCACTAAATTCATTGAGCATACTTATAATCAGTGTTTTCACCTATGCACACTGCACATATCTTATTTTGAAGTAAAAAAATAAAATGGGAACAAATACAATATTTGTATTTGCATGTGGCCCGCGGGGTGTAGTTTGAGGACCCCTGATTTAGACAGAGGAGTGACCTTGTGTAGGAGCTACCCCTTTGTAGACTGTGTGTGCTGGGTGTCTTTGATGGACCAGCTGGAGCATGGGTGGGTCACTGGGGGCAAACCTTACCAGGGCCTGGAGTGGTAGCTGGAATGGAGAGGGGCCAAGGGCAAGCTGCACTGGGACACTCTTGACAGGCCACTTGGAGTTGTAGGTGGAGTGGGCTCAGGCCTTAGGTAGTGCCAAGGGCAAGTCACACCAGGACCTGGAGCTAAAGCTGGATTGGTGTGACTTGTAGGGATTCCCAGAAGTAAGCTACTGGGACTGTACCTGAAGCTGATGTGGTCTACAGGAAGTCCAGGGGACAAGCCACACCTGGGAAGGAGCTGTAGCTAGAACTACAGTTGAGGAAAGTCACATGGCTAGAATCTGGAGCTAGAGCAGGCTGCAGAGAGACCTGCTTCTGTGTCATCTCTCTCTCGTGTGCAGAAGCTGTTCAGTTGGCCTTCAGTTTTTCTTCAGGGGAATGCTCTGTCTTCAGATGTAAATTAGATGTGTTCCTAGAAGGAGGTGAGTTCAGGATCATCCTATGCCACCAGCTTAGACTGAAAGCCAAGCTAATTTTTAAATTCATGTCGGAATGCAAAGAACTTAGACTAGACAAAACGAAGTTGGAGGAGTAACACTATCTGATTTTTAAAAGCTTATTATAAAATTTTAATGATCAAAACAATGTGGCATTGACATTAAGTTGAACAAATAGATCAATGGTACAAATAGAGAATCCAGAAATAACACCATATACATGGAAAGCTGATTTTTAACAAAGGTGCAAAAGCAATTCAGTGTGGAAAGGAGAGCATTTTTCATAAATTGTGCTGGAATAATTAGATATTCATATCAAAAAAATAAACTTTAATATTTCAACAGCTCACAAAATACACAAAAAATGGCTTAAATTGTTTGTAGGTTATTAAACCTAAAACTATAAAATATCTAAAAGAAAATATAAGGGAAAATCTTTGTGACTCTGGCTTAGGCAAAGATTTCTTAAACACATCACCAGAAGCACAATCCATAAAAGAACAAAGTGATAAACTGGACTCGAATCAAAATTTAAAATATTTGCTCTTCAAAAGACACTATTAAGAGAATGAAGAGGGAGCTGCGGGGGTAGTCTGGGGCACGGAACAGTGGCGGGGGAGGAGCAGACACTGGGCAGCAACAGTGGTAGCAACTCTGGAGGCGGAGGCGGCATTGGCCCAACCTCCCCTCCATCCCACCCCATGGCAGCCAGAGCTCCCACCTCGCCTCTCCCTAGTTGCACCTGTTCGCCCTGCTCTCTTGTTTCCTCTGATTCTCCAGCAGCAGGGCCCAGTGCCGGGTGCCGACCACCGCCACCATGGGGAAGTGGGTTGGACGTGACAAATATGAGCCTGCGGCCGTTTCAGAGCATGACAAGAAAAGGCCAAGAAAGAGAGGGATATAGATGAGCTGAATAAAGAAGTGTCTATGGATGACCATAAACTTAGCCTTGACGAACTTCATCGCAACTACGGAACAGATCCTGGCTCGAGCTGGTCCCAACGCCCTCACTTCGCCTCCCACCACCCCCGAGTGGGTCAAATTCTGCCGGCAGCTGTTTGGGGGGCTCTCAATGTTACTGTGGATTGGAGCGATTCTCTTTCTTGGCTTATGGCATCCAAGCTACCACGGAAAAGGAACTTCAGAGTGATAATCTGTACCTCGGTGTGGTGCTGTCTGCTGTCATCATCATCACTGGCTGGTTCTCCTACTATCAAGAAGCTAAGAGCTCAAAGATCATGGAATCCTTCAAAAACATGGTTCCACAGCAAGCCCTGGTGATTTGAAATTGTGAGAAAATGAGCATAAACACGGGGGAGGTGGATGTTGGGGACTTGGTAGAAATAAAAGGCGAGGATTGGATCCCTGCTGACCTCAGGATCGTATCTGCCACCAGCTGCAAGGTGGATAACTCCTCACTCACCGGTGAATCAGAGCCCCAGGCCAGGTCTCTGGACTTCACGAATGAAAACCCCCTGGAGACAAGGAACATTGCCTTCTTTTCAACCAACTGCATCGTCATGTACACTGGAGACCACAGTGTCATGGGAAGAATGGCCATGCTGGCCTCTGGGCTGGGAGGCAGCCAGACTCAGCACTGCAGAAATCGAATGTTTTAGTCCACTCATTACGGTGTGGCCGTGTTCCTGGGGGTGTCTTTCTTCATCCTCTCACTGATCCTTGAATATACCAGGCTTGAGACCATCATCTTCCTCATTGATATCGTTGTAGCCAATGTGCCCGAAGGTCTGCTGGCCACTGTCGGTGTTTCTGACCCTCACTGCCTAACGCATTGCCCAGAAAAACTGCTTAATGAAGAACTAAGAGGCTGTATCCACATCCACCATCTGCTCCCATAAAACTTGAACTCTGACTCAGAACCAGATGGCGGTGGCCCACATGTGGTTTGGCAATCATATCCACAAAGCCGACACCACGGAGAATCAGAACAGTGTCTCCTTCACCAAATCTTCAGCTACCTGGCTCGCCCTGTCCAGAATCGCAGGGCTTTGTAATAGAGCCGTATTTCAGGCCAACCAGGAAAACCTGCCTATCCTGAAGTCAGCTGTGACTGGCGAGCCTGCGAGTTGGTACTCAAAGTGTATCGAGCGGTGTTGTGAGTCCTTGAAGGAGATGAGAGAGCGGTACCCCAGAATCATCGAGATACCCTTCGACTCCACCAACAAGTACCAGTTGTCCATTCGCAAGAACCCCAACACGGCTGAGCCCCTGCTGGTGATGAAGGGGGCCCCAGAGAGGATCCTGGACCGCTGCAGCTCCATCTTGCTCCACAGCAAGGAGCATGGTACAACATGACTAAATCTCAAAATAATTTTACTGAGTTAAAAAAAAAAAACAACTACCCCTCCCCCCAAAAAAGAATAGAAATGGTACGATACCATTAATATAAAGCAGTAGAAAATACAAACTCATCTATAATTGAGAGAAAGATCAGCAGTTATCTGGGGCGTGACAGATTTTACTTGTGAGATTATGTCCAATAACAGAACAGCATGACCTATCTGCGAGTGGCAGACCAGCTTATAATAATTTTGAGGCCTAGTTGTGAATGTCAGGTCCATTATGAGCATCTGGAGCTGCTTTTATCTCCTTCAGGTTTGTAAAATTTTTCATTGACCACATAGTAAGCACTTAGGGGAGTTAGAGACAGACTTACTGGTGTGTTAATTCATCAAACAATCAATCAATTGATTTGTTAACACTAGTATTTAATTCTATCTGTGAGAGGTTTAAAGCAAAGAAAAGGCATCATTTAAACTTGAACAGAAGAAAAATAAAAAAATAAAAACAGAAATTGAGGCAGGCCCCAAGGGAAGTAAATAACAAGCATAGAGGTGTCTCTTGACACTGTTCCTTTTAGGAAGCGGTAAAGGAATCCTCAAGGACCAGGAAGAACAGGGCTTACTTCCTGGCAGGCTCTGCTTATAATGCCTCCCCCCTTCAGCAGACACAATCTAGGATCCTTATCGTAACCATTTCCCCTCTTTTCTCCTCTGCAATTATTGCCAAGAAGACTATCTCTTCTCTCTATGAAAGTAAAAGAGAAACTTTTGAGAAGTTTCAGTTTGGAATTTCCTTTGCTGATCTAGGTAATAAGGTTATGTAGTGTTTAGACGAGTAAAAAATATAATCTACTAGTCTTTACTGATAGCTCTCTTTGAAGTTGCTATGATCATATACATATAACCAATATTTCTTAAGCATGGGTCAGGCAATTATCAAGATATTTCCACAGATATTTACCTCATTCAGTAATCTTTATAACAGCCCTTTGAAGAAGGCATAATTATGCCCATTTTATAGCTTAGAAATCTGAATATTAATTTCCTATAACTAGTTAAAAAAATCTCTTGACTCTAAATTCAATGCTTTTTCTATTATATCCAGCTGCCTACCACTCATCCCAAACTTGAAAATTTACTTTACTTTTAAGTATTTTCCAGAAATAGATTTCCCAGTGTTACAGATGTGGCAGCCCCCTCACAAACTAGCTAAAGGAAATTACTGAGTTGTCATGAAACATCTCTGGACTGGCTGTGGAGAGAGGGCCAACAAATGAACATACCAAGATTTCTACTGTACTGAACTTTGAAGGAAAATTAAATTATCAGGGAATGTCTTCCTCACACTGACGTAAACTACCTCAACCTTTCTGGAATTGACTAATTTAACAAGTAAACCAAAAAAAAGTGATTGTTGTTAGTTGACTCATACTTGTGTGCACAGAGCCTTCAGCAATGGATGAAGGATGACTCAACCAGCCTAAGGTGAGTAACAATACAGTCTGGTTAAATATATTCAATTGAGCATAAAATGGTGATGGCCATTCCTGTATTCTAGAATACCTCCCTGTTTTCTTAAACAGCTTTGTAAGACTTTCTGACAGAGTTATTCTGAGAGGGAATGGTTTTACTCAAAAGTCTAACATTATCATTTGTTTTGAGTTGGTTTTGTTTTGTTGGTTTTGTTTTTTCATTTTTAAGGCATACTCTGCTGCTGTGTGGAAATGGAGGGGACAAAGGTAAGGAGAGGCGAGGAGCTCTGTTAGGATGCTTCCGCAGAAGTCCAAGGAAGAAAGGATGATAATTTGAACTTGGGAGATGACAGTGAAGACAAAGAGAAGTGAATTATATGTCATATTTTAGAAACAAGAGCATCTTGCTGGTGAGTTGAATGTGAAGGGTAAAATAAAGGAAGACATAGAACAATAGACTAGAGCAGGAAAATAAGTCCTTGAATATTAACTAAACTATTCAAAGTGCTAAAAATATTTTGAGATGATGGACAAAGTTATTATCACACAAAAATAAACATTTAGAAACACCCTGCAGAACACTTTGATTAAAGATGCCCCAACCAGCCCTCGCTGGTTTGGCTCAGTGAATAGAATGTCAGCCTGAGGACTGAAGGGTCCCAGAGTTGATTCTGGTCAAGGGAACATGCCCAGTTGCTGGCTTGATCCCCAGTATGAACAATGCAGGAGGCAGCTGATCAATGATTCTCTCGCATCATTGACGTTTCTAACTCTCTCTCCCTCTCCCTTCCCCTCTGAAATCAATAAAAATATATTCTTTTAAAAAAGAAAGCTGCCCAATAATTAGTAACAAATTATTTTGACCTATTGAAGACTAAATGACTTTCCTCTCAGTTGGGGGTAAACCTATAGGCCTAAAAGGGACTTTTTAACATTATGGTATTTAAAGTCCATAAGTGACCTTCACATGTTATAGCAAATATTTTGAGTCACTCCTACAATTCATTAGTAGTTGATGTATTCTCATGGCCCCAACATTTGTTAACAGCCCCATTCAAAAAATGGGGCATTTGGGAAAATGGTTGCCTCAGAAAAGACCACATTCTGAATATTTTCATCCTGAATGAGACTAATGTGAAATAATGGAAATATTTATTAAATATTTTATGTCTGGTTTAAGTTCACTTTCAAAAAAGATGACTCTTTGGTATCTGAAACTTAATCTCAGTCCATAGTCACATATGCTTAAAATGGAAAAAAGAGGAAAGGGCATATAGAAAGTGTAAGTTTATGGTACAAGAACCAAAACCAGTTCATCCCACAGCTAAGCCACTAAAAGACCCAAGGCGATATAAGTTAATACATAGACTAGCAGGATCATGGTAAATGTTATTGGCCACATGCGTCACCCATGTCATAGAAATGTAAAATCCAAAACTAGATCTGGCTCAGAGAGGGAGGCTTTTGTACATATTTTATAAGTTCCAAAATATTATTCAGTTTGCTGGTCCCCTGTCACACATTTTCATGCTGTCCAAAAGCAAACAAAGAAGTACCTTATAGTCAACTAGCTCTCCCTTGGTACCTTCTGCCATTTATCCAGGGAGGTCTTACTGTTTTTAAATATTCCAAAGAGACCACTAGCAGACTCCTTGGATAACCATGCCAACACTTGAAATTTCCTTATTATTGATTAATTGATGTTATATTCAAGATAATGGAAAAATAAGTTATTTTTCATGTTTCTATTTACAGAAGCTATAATAGCCAAAACCAAGATCTAGATGCAGAATTATTTAGCAAAGGTTGGGGTAGGGGTTTTTTTTACTCAGAAAAACATAAAGTCATTATGCAAATGTGTAACCATCCAAAGTCATTCTGCCTTGACGTGATTAAGAGAGAGAGCAAAAAATTTAAAGTTTTCTCTTCTTTACAAGTGTTCTGCTACAGGTATCTTAACATTAGATCCATAACATCAGGATGCACAGTTTATATGGATTTTTCAGCAACATATTACCAACCTAGACAATCAGAGACCTATTTCAGCAAGATCAGATTAGTGCTAGTCTACCCTGGATAAACCAGGATAGTATTTCAGGTTTGGAAAAAAATAGTAACTATTGATATGTAAGTGTTTATTGCATTCCCCATGGTGGTGTCAATACATACCTGGGTCCCCATGTATGTATATACAGTCATTCAATGATTTGATGGTCTTTTGCAGCTCACAGACCCATGAAATTTTTCAACAACTCCAGCACCATCACTGGCTTCATCCTCCTGGGCTTCCCTGGCCCCAGAGAGAAGCAGGTCCTCCTCTTTGTGCTCTTCTCTGTTGTCTACCTCCTGACCCTCATGGGCAATGGTTCGATCATCTGTGCTGTGCGCTGGGATCAGAGACTTCACACCCCCATGTACATCCTGCTCGCCAACTTCTCCTTCCTGGAGATCTGGTATGTCACCTCCACTGTCCCCAACATGTTGGCTAACTTCCTCTCTGACACCAAGGTCATCTCCTTCTCTGGGTGCTTTCTCCAGTTCTATTTTTTCTTCTCCTTGGGTTCTACAGAATGCTTTTTCTTGGCTGTTATGGCATTTGATCGATACCTTGCCATCTGCCAGCCTCTACACTACCCAACCATTATGACTGGACGTCTCTGCACCAATCTTGTGGTCAGCTGCTGGGTACTTGGCTTCCTCTGGTTCTTGATTCCTATCACTATTATTTCCCAAATGTCCTTCTGTGGCTCCAGGATCATTGACCACTTCCTGTGTGACCCAGGTCCCCTGTTGGCCCTCACCTGTACCAGATACCCTGCAATAGAGTTAACTAGCTCCACCTTAAGTTCTCTGCTCTTATTTATTCCCTTTATTTGTATCATGGTGTCCTATGCTCTGGTTCTACAAGCTGTGTTGAGGGTTCCCTCAGCAGCTGGACGAAGAAAGGCTTTCTCCACCTGTGGATCCCATCTGGCTGTGGTTTCTCTTTTCTATGGCTCAGTGATGGTCATGTATATAAGCCCAACATCAGAACATAAAGCTGGAATGCAGAAGATAATGACTTTGCTTTATTCTGTAGTTACCCCACTCATTAACCCTGTAATATATAGCTTGAGGAACAAAGATATGAAACATGCGATAAAGAAATTATTTGGGATAGAAACAGAGGCACGGATACATGAAACAGTCTGACAGCTGTCAGAGGGAAGGTTGAGAGGACTGAATGAAAGAAGATGAAGGGATTATCCAAAGAATATATATGCATAACTCATAGACACAGACAACAGTATGGTGATGTCAAGAGGGAAGGGGGGGCTAGGTAGAAGGGGTAAAGGGGAGGAATGGGGACATCTGTAATAGTGTCAATAATAAAAATAAAGAAAAAGAAATTATTGGGGACATAAGAGTCTTGATTTAAAATATTTGGGGGGTCATTATCTGTTTTTAATTTCTTTGATTAAAAAAAGACTATCTGACATCACTCAGAAAATTGTTCATTGCTTTGGGCAATGAGCACATGATGCAGTGTGCAGACGATGTT